GGGCTCCTGTCGTTATGAAGACATGCAGGGGTGCAGGGCTCCTGTCGCCATGAAGCACAAGGAAATGAGATGTGACTTCTAGGAGGGTCCTCTGGCTCCTGCTAGGTACTGTAATCAGAAGCACACTCCTGGATCTCTGCAGATGCGCAAAGAGTATGTCTGGCTTCAGCGTTCACTGCACACTGTGAAGTGGACGTCTTACCAAAGCTAGCTGCCGTCTCAGACATCGTTAGTTGCAGTTAATAGTTCTGTTTATCAAATAGCATTACGTTTATTCAGATTTACCTTCTGTTTACGTAGTACCTCTTGGCCAACTTTGAAGGATCCAAACCATTCTAAATTAAGCTCTTACAGAGTAGAAAGTAATTTCCTCCGGATACACAGATGGGAAGTAGTGAGAACTCCAGGCAGTCTGGAATAAACAGATGGACATTAGATCACCCTGCCAGGGCAGGTTGTTTGCAGAGCGGTGACCATGCCGTGCCCTCTGCAGAAAATTATAAAATTTGGTCCCTGTATTATAAGGTCCACAAAAATAGGGCTTCATTGCTTGTATTTGTGTGTGTGTGTGTGTGTGTGTGTGTGTATGAATTTTGGTGCCTTTTAAGACATGAATTTTTAAACTGAAATTCATTCAACATTTCCTTTGCTTTTTTCTTTTTTAAAAGATTGATTTTTTTTTTAAACTGGTGGGTCATTATTTTTGTACAGTAATTCTTATTTAGCTCTTTTCCATTGAATGATTTTTTTGGTCTTATGTTTTGAGACAAGGGCTTGTTATGCACTCCGTTAAACTTGAACTTTTTCTTTGCTAATTACTAATTAATGTATTTATTTATTGAGGTAGACCTTGAACTCAAGATAGTGTAGCTCTCTACCTTCCTAGTCCTAGGACCACAGGTACTTACCACCACGCCCAGCTTGGTTTTGAACTTTTTCAGTCTCCTGCCTCAGGTTTTTAAGAGCTGGGGTTATGGTCCGTAGCTGCTGTGCCTGGGTTTGGGGTGAGGATTTTATTTTATTTTACTGCTTAGGGGGAATACTCGGGAATGAATCCAGAGCCAGTGTTCAAGAGTGAACTAAATGCTCTTACCACGTAACTACATCCCCAGCAGGTTTAGTAAACTAAAATGGGAACTTCAAGACGCCAACAGTCAGAGTGTGGAATTACCCCGAGTGTTTAAGATCTTTTTTCTTCTTTTTGGTCTTTACCAGGTCAACGTGGTGTGTGTGTGTGTGTGTGTGTGTGTGTGTGTGTGTGTGTGTGTGTGTGTGACTTGTCCTTATGACGTCTTTCCGATGCATAGAATTCCAGGTTTTGTAGGAACAAGACTCTGGCATGCAGCTAAATTGTATCATTGGCATTCTCGGTGGACAGCTGTGTTGGAAAGGAGCTGCACTGAGCTCTGGCAAGGGCTCAGCTTGTGGCACAGGTGCCCGACAGATAGTTCGTCCCTTCGCCAGTTAGCATGCTGGGGCATAAGTAGCGTTCCAGAAATTCTGAGCTGGTGATTGGTGAGGGTGAAGAGCTTCTGTCTAGATCAAAAGGCAAGTAGTGGGCCCAGAAACACCTTATTTAAAATTCAGATTTTTTTTCTAGTCATCTTGAGTTTGGTGCATGTTAGTTTTGAATTAAGATTTATTTGGGGAAATTACTGCATAAGTTCCAATATATGGAAAATGTTGTATTTTAATGAAGCACATAAAGTAATTTAATAATTATTGATTTTTGCTCATTATTGAAAATTAAAATAACTTGGATGTGATAAATCACTGAGATTTAAAAAAAAATCTTTCCCAGTTGTAATTTAAATTTTTCTGTGTCCCAGAACTATTTAAAAAGTAACCTTAATATGTGTGTTAATTACATTTCTACTGCTGTGATAAAACACCATGACTACAACAACTTAGGATGTATTTAACTGGGCTTAGGGCTAAAGGGGTTAGAATTCATGGTGGCAGAGCAAAGTTGAGAGCTCTGGAGCTGCGGACGGAGGCAGGGAGTGCACTGGGAATGCCACTGGACCGCTGGACACACTTCCAACAAGGCCACACCTCCTAATCCTTCCCAAATAGTTCCACTAACTAGGGACCAAGTATTGAAATAGATGGGGGATGTCTTATTCAAACTACCACAGTCTATATGTAATTTTTATACTGAATATGTTGATCTTCAGATTGAGTTGCCTTCTTATAATAATTTCTTAAAACCTAAAACATCCGTTGCCTGGAAGAGTTTGACTTCTTGCAGGCTTCCTCGTCGTCTTTGACATTGCATTTTATAAGCTCAGTAGGCAGGCTCATCCCTGATGCTTGACTGTGGGTAGGCAGGCTCTGGAATAGTTGGAATAGTTTCTCTGAATATTTATCACTCTGTGAACGCACACTTGTTAGAGGTCCGCCCTCCCCCGCTCTCCCTTTGAAGGAATACAGTGGCAGAGTGTTCACATAGTCCTCTCTACTTGTGTGCTTCCTGTTTATTATTTACTAAGCGGTGTCTTCTGTTTAGGTCTTGATAGAGATGATTTGGTGATGGAGTATTCCTCCTGACCGATGGACTCGAAGAAGAAAAGGTAAGACCATCTTCTTGCAGACAGCTCCACATGGTTGTAGGGAATGTTTAGTGTGATTCTCTTTTCAGCGCTATTACATGGGAGCACATGGTTGCATTTGTAATTGGTAGGTAAAGAGACAAAATTATTTGAGTAAAGGTGATTAGAGAAAAGCTTTGTTAGTTTCTTGTGCTTGTAAACTCTTGTAGATGTCTTTTCTTATCAGCAGTGTTGTTTCTCTCTCTATTTAAAGGTTAAATTGTGACTTTCTTTTCGCAGTTCCTAAACCCAACTATAATGTAAAGAAATATTGTTTAGCAAAAGTAGAGACATTCTAAAAACCTTCTCTGCTTTCACTAAAATAGAAGGATCTGTGTTATCTTGAAACAAGCAACTGAAAACACCAAGTGTAGTTGGGGGTAGAGCTTGCCTGTTACGTGTACGACCCCGGGGTCAGTCCCCAGCACCCTTAGCAAAGGTCAATAGCAGTTAGCTTTAAAGTCCACAAAAAGCAAAAGATTTCATTTCTTCATCTCTCTCTCATAAATTAGAATGCTTTTGTGCTGCCCAATCATTAACCATAAAAATACCTCAGACCATTGCATAGAGGCCAATTTGTGGGTTTAGATTTCTCCTAGCCCTTTATACAAAGAGTTTTATTATCTTGGCCCTGGTGTCATTCATAATCAAAGTGTAAAGCGAATGCTGAACTGTCTGACCCAGTCCAACGTCTGTGCTGGCAGAAGGTGCCATCTTAGATTCACAGCCCTGCCTCCCCCAATACACATCCAGACATATAGAAGGAAAGAAGTCTCTTAAGGGCGAAAGATGACAGTGTGAGTTGTGGAAATAATTATTATTGTTTTCTTTTTAAATGTTTGTAGCTCAGCAGAGGCAGAAGGATCCAAAGAAAGAGGCCTGGTCCACGTCTGGCAGGCAGGATCCTTTTCTCTAACACCGGAGAGGTTGCCAGGCTGGGGAGGAAAGACAGTTCTCCAGGCAGCCCTGGGTGTGAAACACGGAGTTCTTCTGACTGAAGGTATTTCACAGGGGACTTGATGATGCGGACAGCCCTGCTCGTGGCTGTGTTAGGTCAGGGAAGGGTTCCTGGCTACCGCAGGCCCTTTCTAAGCTCCATTGCAGCGTGTACCCTTTTGTTCTTAAATTATATCTCGACTTCCTTTAAAGAAAATACATTTATTAGTAAATTTAAGACATTCTGTTGTCATTTTTGCTTTTATAGTAGTCTGAACACACATAACCTCATAGACTGTTCCGACATTTCAGAGCAGTAATGCCATTGGGAGCAGGGGCTTACTAACACCGTGTGTGCCTGGACCAACCCAAAGGCTCCCTGCACCTCCCTGCCTCCCACTGCTGCTCACAAGGGCATGGGTGCAGAATCCCCGCCGAGCCCCCACTCGTCAGAGCCTCCCTGACCGACTATGGCAGCTCAGCTCCGAGAAGCCCAGGGACGACCTGCGCTCTAAAGCAGAGACCCACGCGTCCCTCCTTCTTGATGCCGTTTATGTGGGATTCGGGTCAAGGTTCCCACTGATGTTTTAAATTTCTGCTTAGGAGACATTTCAGTATTGATAATGTTTTACACTTTCATTGTAGGAACTAAGAGAAGAGGAACTCTAGGAAACTGCTTACACCTCTGTTTAGAGGTATCATGAAATAAGCATGACCATATAAGAGTTCTTTCTAATGTATTAGTGTACTGTTTTATTATGATACATATTAAGGTTTTAGGAAATACTTGACAAGCGTGAACTATAAGTTTAATATCTATTCTGTAGATCTCAAAATGTGTAATTCTCAAGGATATATGAAGCATTCTGGTGGCCTTTTTCTTTTTCCTTTTGGCAGTACTGAGGACTGAACCTGGGCCTCGTGTATGCTAAGCAGAATTTCTAGCACTGAGCTATATAAGTAGCCTTTGTTATAAATAAGATATTTGGAATATGTTAATTAACATACCTGAAAACATTTATTAAGATAATTGGGAAATGCCAAGAGGTGGTGGCTCACACCTTTAATCCCAGCATTTCGGGAGGCAGAGGCAGACGGATCTCTGTGTGTTTGAGGCCAGCCTGGTCTACAAAGCGAGTTCCAGGCCTGCCAAGATTGTTACACAGAGAAACTCTGTCTTTAAAACAACAACAACAAAAAAGATATTTGGAAGCCTTTCCCTACCATGGTATCTTTAAAAATCTAGAGATAGGCCAGTGAGATGGCTCGGCAGGTAAAGGCAGTGGGCACATCAGCCTGACGACCTGCGTTTGGTCTTCGTAATCCACATAAGATAGAAGGAAAGAACCAGCTCCTTAGGCTGTGGGCTGAGCCTCCCCCACATCTTACATACGCACTAATAATAATGTTTTTTAATAGAGGAATGATCTAGTGTGGTAGCCAGGGGTGGTAGCTCATTCAGGAGGCTGGAACAGGTTTACCACAAGTTTGAGACTAGCCTGGTCTGCATGATTAGTTCCAAACCAGCCTAGGTTACAGAGGGAGACCCGATCTCACAAAAGCTGGCGTAGTTGTTGTGGGACAGCTTCTCCTTGTTCTCATGTTTAAGCAATATCATGCTATTAAGTGTCCAAATTACAGAAGACAGAAGATCATCTCAACTGGGGATCTATAGAGCTTGATGGTAGAGCACTCGGTTAGCAGGAAAGGCCCTGTGTTGAACCCAGGGCGAAAAGAAAAAAATAGAAAAGGAAATGTTCATCTCGTGGCATGCACCGTGTTCCTAGCTGTGTTTTGTGGGTGAGGAGTTGGCACACAGCTGTGGTTTTACCGCAGTGTTGCTGGCTGCTTTATAGCGGCTTACGGTGTCGACTGGCTGCTACAGTGGGCCTGTGGACCTTAAATTCTCACTGCTCTCCAGAATGCAAAAAATGCAAAAATGCTCTGCACTTTTCCAAGTCTTTATGATATGCTTTTGAAGGTTCACTAACTCTCTTTTTTCTCTTTGGAACCTTAGATGGTGAGGTCTACAGCTTTGGGACCCTGCCCTGGAAAAGCGAATCTGCGGAAATCTGTCCAAGCAGCCCCCTTCTAGAAAGTGCCCTGGTTGGGCATCATGTTGTCACAGTGGCCACGGGGAGCTTCCACAGCGGGGCGGTGACAGAAAGCGGGGCGGTGTACATGTGGGGGGAGAACACTGCCGGCCAGTGTGCAGTAGCGAACCAGCAGTATGTGCCAGAGCCAAGTTCCGTCAGCATTTCTGACTCGGAGACCAGCCCCTTGTTAGCTGTGAGGATTCTGCAGTTGGCGTGTGGCGAGGAGCACACCCTGGCCTTGTCAATCAGCAGAGAGATCTGGGCATGGGGCACCGGCTGTCAGCTGGGTCTCATCACCACCACCTTCCCAGTGACAAAGCCCCAGAAGGTGGAACACCTTGCCGGGCGCGTGGTGCTCCAGGTGGCCTGTGGCGCGTTCCACAGCCTGGCGCTGGTGCAGTGCCTCCCTCCCCAGGATCTGAAGCCTGTCCCGGAGAGATGCAACCAGTGCAGCCAGCTGCTCATCACTATGACGGACAAAGAGGACCATGTGATAATATCAGACAGCCACTGCTGCCCCCTAGGGGTGACCCTGTCTGAGTCCCAAGCAGAACATCACACCAGCACTGCCACCAGCCCTCAGACGGAGGTGTTTGAGAACGCTTTGGTAGGAACTGAACTGAACATGGGAAACATTTCGGCAACAAGTGGCAGTGCCGTTTCCTCTCAGCAGAATGTGGCGGGGACAGCCGAAGTGTCTTCAGCCAGGATGGCCCCCTCCTACCCCGACACCCAGGCAGTAACTGCGTACCTGCAGAAGCTGTCAGAGCAGCCAGGGCGGGAGAACCATGAGCAGGAAGAAAAGCCACCCCAGGTCCAGGTAGCTGCCACGTTTATAACATAAAGGTGTTTTGAAGTTAAAGTATTTGTGTTTCTTTAGGAACTAAAGTCCTGAATCTTGGGAGCAGGTTTTATTTTTTCCCGTCTGGCTGCTGTAAATCTGTTTTGCTAGACCCGGGGAGGGAGGAGCCTGTGTTAAATCAGAAATGCTCTTGATCTGACCCTGACATCTGAAAGATGTCATGCTGGGCTTGTTTTAGAAGTGGCCCAGGCCTGTGTGTTATTTCCTTGCTCATGTTTTGCCAGCCTGGCTGAGGCACTGCGTTTTGGTTGTCCCCAGAAGAGCTCAGCTCCGTGTAACCCTGAGCTCACAGAGCTGCTTCTCGACTGCAGTGGTGCGTCCTCCAGAGCTGTGTGAGACTGTGTCTGTCTAGGTCCTCCAGAGC